ACTAGTACTACCATAATTATTTTATTTTACTTTGCACCGGAAAGGATGGCGTTTCTGTGGATTCTTTAACGAGAGAAGCAAACGATTTACTGATCATAAATAATCACAGATAAACGCCGAGGATATTGCACTCGGGTGTCGGAATCCAGATCCAAAACCTCACACAAAGCACTAGTATTACCACTCAGGCAAGCAGCACAGCAGCAAGCACCACAAATCTTGGCATATTCGCATGAACAAGAGCATGCGCATGCTCTTGGCACACAATCGTACTAGTAAAAAACGCTAGGCTCCCTCCCCGTAGAACACGGAAATCCATTGGGGAAAGCAAACTACTACTGCTCTCGAACTTGAGTTGGAAAAAATCAGCAAGAAAGAAAAAGGAGTGGTTGCGGCCGGCAAGAAACGAGGAGGCCGAGCAGAGCAGGAGCACTGACCTTATTACGGGCCAGGGCTACGGTGCGGTGGCCATGGAGGTCGGTCCGCGCAGGCAGAGGCCAGGTGGTTGGGGAGAGGAGGAGGAGGAGACCGGGAGGGAGGGAGAATGACAGCAGGAGGTGCGCGAGGAAGGCCAGGAGCACGACGCACTGGGAGTAGGAGTAGGAGGAGTCGCAGGAGGGCAGCAAAGGCGGCCTCCGCTTTCTCTCTCTCTTTGTTTTACCGGCCCGATCTGACAGATGCCTCTCCGTCTCCCCCGTCTGGTGATTCCGTCAAGTGAAGGCGACGCTCGCTCCTCGCTCATGCGTGGACTGTGACAGTGTCGTCCAACCGTCCCTCCCGCCCTCGGGCTGCTCGGTGGTGTGGGTAATGATGGTGGCGTCCTTCCTCGCGCCACGGCCGCTACTGGACAAGGCAAGGCCGGGGAGGGAAGCCAAGACGTCGCGCCAACCGTGGGTGGTGGTTGATGGAATGGAGGTGATGGAGGTGGAGCCATTTCTTCCTTTCTTTCTTTGCTCCGCTTTGCCCATGCCTGCCTCTGCTCACTCACTGTCTTTTGACTGACTGGACTCGGCGGTTTTTATTGCCTATACGTAAATGAGGCAACAGCTCGCCTCGATGCAGAAGGTGTCCCTCCTGCTTCTTTTTAATTGTGACACATGTGCCTTTTGTCTGATCAAGTCAGTGCAATCTCTGCTTGTTGTAAGCTCATTTTCTTTCTTCCTTTCTTTTTTGAGGCGAATTTCTTGTGCTTCCATAGCGCTGCATGTGTGCATGGCATTGGCATGGCTTCAGCGTTGGCATTTACTAAGAACCAGCACACCGCTTGGCTTTAAAGAATCAAGGTCTATGGCGTCTGCCTAGCTGCCCGACTAGCCTAGCCCCAGCGAGTTTTGTGCTAGCCCTACCCTGCGCGTGAGGAGGGAGGTAGACTTTGATCGCCCCTCCCTCCCAATTATTGGTCTCTCTCATCTGAATCCTCACAGTAGATATTAGTACTACCAAGATGAGATGACACCCGCATTCTCCATCCAGTCATCCATGGACATGGATAAAGAAAGGATCATCGTTATCATCACAAGAATCCCTGAGTCTGGCCAGACGAATGAGATGCTCTTCCTTGACTCTGAGCCTGAGCCACCGAAAGGATCCAAGAGATAAGATGGGCAGCAGCAGCAAGGAATCCAATTCCCTAACCTCACCAGCAATGTAATCTAAGCTAGCTGCATCCATCACATTCAGATACAGTGACACGGCTGATGGGAAATCACATTAGCAGGTGCGTATTTTAACCTTTAAATTACCGCTAGTGAACCAGACGAGGACCACGTACTACTACCCCTTTCCCTGTGCGCCGAGTGCCTCGAGAAACGTGGACTGGACCGCGCGCTAGGCCGGTTGGTGCTGCACTGCTTGCATACTCCCAGGTAGCAGATTCAACTCTCAAGGCGCAGCAAGAAAAAGATCCGATTCAGAAAAGAGAAAACTACGGCGTCCCCTCCCCTCCCGTCCGTCTCGGTGAATGAACGAGTAGCCAGGACACGGCGCCGTACCTCTCGCTGCAGTCGAGTCGACGGTGGCCTCCCTCCTCCGCGGCCGGCGTCGTCCCGGGCTACGCACTCATGTCGGCGACAAAAACGGCGCCGTCGACGGGCAACATCAATGGCAGGAGCGATTAGGAATACTAGTACCAAGGAATGGATGCCAACTGTTCTCTTCTGGCGAGTGATCGATCTGATCTCACCCACTACAACGGGGGAGACGAGAAGAAGGCGTCGCTCGCGAGTGGCGCGTCTCCGTCCCGTTTCCCTCGCCTCTCCGAACGCCAGATCTGTTGACTGTTTCGGATTACTGCCTTTTTTTTTCGAGATAAGGATTACATACCGCCTGTCTCTCTCTGCTGCTACCTCGCCCATGAGGCCCGATAGCCCATACAAGGTCTGTCGGCTGCCTGTTTCCGACCTTTGTGTGCTGCGTGTCTGCTGTCTGGCCCATAAGGCCCAATGACGCGTGCTGTCTTTTTGGTACCGTGACTCTCTGAGTAGGACAAATACGAAAATAAACGCTCCCTCCGCCCGGAATTGCTTGTCTAACATCGAAATAGTTATAGATACATTCATTTAAGCGACAAACAATTTTAGACGCAGGGAGTAGCAAATGCTCTCGGAGTGGCCGTTTCATTTAAGCCACAAAGTCTCAGTGCTGCACGAGAAAGGATCAGTGTCAACTGTCAAGAGCATCTAGTCAAGGTCATTATTCCCCACGCTGGCATATTCCAAGACCCTCCTAACTATGGCCTAATTGACCCACAATTTTGAGGACAGAGCTATATACTTATTTTCGAAAATGGGCCTACTCTCTTCGCCACACTAGTTACTTGCCCCTACACGTGGTTACTCAAAAAAAAAAAAAAGAACTTGCCCCTACACGTGATTGCCTCATCGAACATCCGCATGACCTTTTGCCATTACATTGGCGTGAAAATTTACGATCTGACTTTTACTAGTTGGACACAACAATGACACTTTAGTCATTATGTTGCTAAGAGCATTTACAGTCGGACTTTACAAATCCCGCTCGTCAAACGTTCGCGGACGCGTCCGGGCATGTCCGCAGGTACTGATCGGACACCCCTTATATTTTCCATTCTGCATCCACGTATCTCATATCCAACGCTTTATATCCGTATTATCAATGCACACGTTGATCTATCCTAAATGATCAAATAACAGACAATAAAATTGAGCTGCAAAGGAACACAAGATCGACTGCAAACGAACATAACATACTTCATCACATCCAAAAGAATCATAGTTTGTCCACGGACAAGTTCATGAACTTCTACAACTGAAATTGATATAACTATTGAGGAGGAGGAGGAGGAGGAGGAGGAGGAGGAGGGGGATCACCACTTGCTCGCCGGGCCTTTGCCCTTTCGGTCACCGGCACAACTGCAGGCGTCTGTGGCTGGTGGAGGGTCTTGGTCGTCGGACGACGAGGTGCAGCTGTCGCCAGCGTCAGAGTTGGAGTCGGAGAGGACAATGAGCCCCTTCATCCGACGGACCGCCCTATCCTGCTCCCGCTTTAGCCTTGCCACCCGAGCCTTTCTCCGCCGCTGCCTCCTTCGCCTCACTCTGACTGCTCAATAGCTAGTCGGAGCGCCTTGGCGTTCTTCCGTCGGAGGCGGCGAGCGTCCGTCTCCACAGCCGTGAGGGAGCGGCGGTACACCCAGGCGAGGAGATGCGCGTCCTCGTCGGCGTCCGGCTCCGTCCCGGGGTGGCGGCGCGCGGACTGCTCCGCCGCCTCCCTCTCCCGTGCAGGCTGCCTCTCGCGGCGCGTGCCTCCAACTCCAGAGTGCGCGTGCGGGCCGGAGGCGCGGGCACAAGCACCCAACGCTAGCCACATGCAGGAGCGGCCGACGGGGGGAAGGAGACGACGCGGGGCCGGCACGGACTGTGCTGACCGGGCGTCGTTGTGCGCGGGCCGGGAGGGTCCAGCTTCGGCGTCCGCGCTGCACCGGCGCGGGAGGTGCGACGGCGCTCCAGATTCGAAGCTGCCGTCGATGTCCACCTTGGACCACTCCAGCACAATGCGGAGGGCCATCTCCTCCTCGTAGTTGAGCTCCGAGCCGGAGTCGCTGCCGGAGCTGCTCATCATGGTGGATGGGATCGGAAAGTGTGAGGGAGAGGAGTGGACAGAGCGAGAAAGAGAGGGACAAAGTGAGCTAAGGTTTTGAGCTCGCCACCCGGATTGGGTTTTTTGTGGGGTCCGTGGTGGGCCGGGCCTGTCAGGCGAACGCGCCCGGGCGTCCCGGGCTACCTCATATCCGCCCTACATTTGGGCTGGATATGAGGGGTGCCGGTCAGCCCATGAACCCGACATTCGTCTGTAGTTTGAGAGATCCGGCTGGTTCAATTTTTTGTGACCGGTCACTGACCGGACCATCTGTCTGAGCGTTTGAGACGGATATGAGAGGCCCGGCTGCAGATGAGTTGATGTGGACATGATTTGTTGAACCCAACGATGGAAAATATTTTTGTTTCTAGCCGCCACGTGCTAGAGTTGGCGACGTTGGCACGTGTGTGTTCTCTCTTCTTGAAGGCATTGTTATGGAAGAAAGTATAACTTAGCTGTAGAGATTTAGGTTGTGCCTTGTCTTGGTTCTGCCGTACGTTGTTGTGTACTAGGAGTATTATTATAGATGTTTTAGACTCGTTGATGTGTGCCAATTTTAATCAAATCATGGATATGCAGAGGCCAGGAGGTACGACCTTCCTCTTTGAAAGAGAAGGTAAAAGCGTGTCGGCGTGACTATGTATTGTATCTCAATCATCAAATACACCCTTTTATCCATGTGTAAAACCACACACACATAAGCAAGCAGCAACATCATCAAACAAAACCACTCTTTGACACTTACAAAATACACAACCTCTTAACTTCAAGTCCAGCGTCCACGTCCTTGCTCACTGCTCTCGTTTCACCATCGACATACTTGGAGGCTGGAGCAGCTTTATTGGGTTGGGATTTGGGAAGCAAGCACACAAAAATATATTGTTGATTTAGTTGTAGGCGTCCGGGTTGGCGATGAGGTACGCCTCGGCGGCCTTGAAGATGGCGGTCACGGACTCCTTGGCCTTGCCGACCTCGTACTGGGCCTCCCCCACGCCCGGCAGCAGCTTGTACGTGGACTCCACCTTGACGACGCTGCCGCCGCCGCCGGCCGCCGGCTCCACCTTGATGCACGACGTGGCCGTCTCGATCACCGTGCCCACGTGCCCGCCCTCGAGAAGGGTCGACCGGGGACATGGATTTTTCCTAACCAGTTAGGCGCGCAACTAGTATCTGAGACGCACATCTACCTTGCCGTCAATTCAACATGGCCCACTATGTTGTCAGCTCTAGATGGTATTTCAACGTTCCACGATTTTCGTCGGCGTGTATATGGTGCTGTATTCCATCTGATTGGACATGCTAGCTGACAGGTCTATAGATTCGGTTGTCGTCAGGTCCTTCACATGCATTGTTATCGCTCCATGCTGCCTTTTATCAGTCAGACCTACCATACTAGTACTTAGTATGCTGCTAATTGTATGGATTGGTACTACTAATTACCCGAAAATAGCACACTATATTTTTTTCTGCTAACCGCGTTAGGCGCAATTGATTTGGCATAAAAAAATGACTTACGGTTCTCAAGTTCTTCGTTTTGCCATACTATAGCACGACACACGCAAACAAAAAGTACTGCACCAGATAGTTTCACAACCGGGATAGGTGGGACCAGCACCTTCAGCGGGGGAGGCCACATATGTAGTCCACGCAGGACTTTAATGAAGTATAGTACAGAACTTAGTGCGTCTTTTTGGCGCCATTGGTTTGTTCTTCACTGTTATCATTTTGTCAGTGTAAGTTATGTTCTAGAATATGTCTAATTTCCTACTGCTTGCAATATTCGTTTAGAAGTCAACGCCTGCGAGCTTTTGGAATCAAGCATGGCGTGCGCTCTTCGGAGGCATAAACATGATTTGACAATGCACTGGCTCAAGCGGCGTGAACAGTGCATGTTGCCAAAGGAAGGGACAACTCTACAGAGGTTAGGCTCAGCTGGGAACAGATTAAATTAAGGGTCGCGCTAACTGCCACACATGTGGTAGGAAGGGAGACGCACCACACGTCTCTAATGTAAACAGATTGCCACGTCATCGCATGCATGCATGCAGCAATCTTTTTGGATTTTCAGTTTTTAAAATGTTTTATCTCTTAAACAAAAGATACGATTGAAAATCCGTTTTCACCATTAAATCCCTCGCGATGAGATCTTCGAAACTAGATCCCATATTGATATGCTTTGATGAAAAAAAATTGGATTAAAAGTTGCCATGTCTATTGCATATGAATTGTCATGATGTTTACACTGAAGTTGCCATGATATGTTTCAGTTATTTTCTTCTACATTTAAAAGTAAATTTTGACATTTATAAAACGGGGAATTAAGAAACTAGACTTGCCATGAACCATAAACTAAAATTGCCATGATACATGCACGTAAAATTGCCATGGTTCATACAAAAAATAATTTTGATGGTCAAAGTACTGGAGTTGCCATCATCAAAATACTAAAATTGCCATGATCTACAAACTAAAATTGCCACATGGCAAATTTAGTTTAAGCCCTATGGCAACTGCAGTGTAAACATCATGACAACTTCTGGCAAAAAAAAATTCGTCGAAACATATCAACATGGAGTCTAGTTTTGAAGATCTCGTCGAGACGGATTTAATGGTGAAAACGGATTTTTAGTTCACTTTTTATTTAAGAGATACAACATTTTTAAGCCGAAAACCAAAAAAAAATCGGCTGATGTCATCTATTCATACGTGGCAAAATGAGTGATGATGGAGGCGTGTGAGCGATGTGCAAGCGTCCACACGTGTGGGCGTTAACATTTTCGTAAATTAATACCAGCGTTCGAACAGAGGTTAGGCTATAACACCTCACGGATTGCACACAACAAAAAAACTCAGTCGTACCACAAAAAGAAACTCGGTCCAGCTTTACCACTACCCGATCGCCCATTGTGTCCACTGCATTATTTTAGTCACTCACAAAAACGGCCTTGCCGATAACTGCGTAGCAAATACTCGGCAGATGAACTATACTTGTTAAATTAATTAGGACCTTTGGCAAGTGCGGTGGACATGCAAAATAGTATGTGTAATTTTCTTAAACTGTTTATACAATGTAACGTTCAAGTAAATTTTCAAAAAAAAAACCATACCATTCAACTAAATGTACAAAAATCTCTCTAGAAAAAATACTAATTAAAAATTGGTAACGCTAAACTTAATACTAAAAATAGGCAGCTATACTTCTATCGCATTGTACAAAAATATGAACCCGTAAGTAGTGACAAATACTTGCCTCGATTAATACATCAACATTAGTATGACGAGGATATTATGGACGACGAAACCGAGGTAAAATGCAAGTATGATATCTAACGAGTTTGATGATAGAGCTGAGTACACCACCTTTCCACCTAAATGGAGATGCGGATCCGCGAGGTGGTGTGTGGTTGATGACTTGACTCCGAACAGAAGAGAAGCATCACATGGTCCAATGTTCTAGATGTGTACGCAGTGTTATGTGAATATGAATGTGTAGTGGAATGAATGAATCAGTAGTATATACCTCCCCACAAAAAAAATACTATATACCAAAATGTATTGCCAAAGGATACTGTAAGATTTGCTCAACAACAAGAGATGTGCACGTCTTTGTGTATATGATGATATATGAGGAAGGAGGATAGCTCTGGAAATTTGGAGGAAGGCACTCGTCGTCGTCCTCCTCCTCTAGCTGACCATGGGCACGACACAAGAGATTGAACGAATTGCCGGAGAAGACAATTGGAGGAATTGCGGTTAGTTAGATGCTTGCTAAAGTGCTAAAGTACAAAGGTCAAATTATGTGTAGCTGGCTAGTCATTTACCTAAACTCAAGTCCTTCATCTTAGATCACTCGTAAAATTGATGCCTGGTTAGGTGCAGTTGGTCAGACATAGGTTGCAATGAAACACCAATATCCTTTGTGTATTGTTAAAGTCCTTCTACCTAGGCCATGAAAGACCGATCATGGTATGTGAATGTCAATTTGTAAAGATCCGAAATCGGGTGTGTGCCACTAAATTCTTATATATATGCCATAAAATACCAGTCATAGTATGTGAAAAACTATATTGGGGGTGCGGTTGCGAACTCAAATAATATCTTGTGTCTAATCGAGAATGAATTCGACATGGGACGAGGAGAGTCCCGATCTGATATATGTATCGCTATACTCCTTTTACCAAGGCCATAGAAGACCGGCCATTGTATGCGAATATCAATTTGTAAAGATTAGCCACTAAAGTTCTTCTACATATGTCATAAAAGACATGTCCTATTGTGTGAAACTCATATAAGTCCCTTTACATGGGCCATGAAAGACCGATCATGGCATGTGAATGTCAATTTGTAAAGATCCAAAATCGGGTGTGTGCCACTAAAGTTCTTCTACATATGCCATAAAAGACCGGCCATATTATGTGAAAGTCCATATTACGGGTGCGGTTGCCAGCTCATAATATCTTGTGTCAAGTCGAGAACGAAACCGACATGGGACGAGGAGAGTCCCGATATCCTTTGTGTATTGTTAAAGTCCTTCTACCTAGGCCATGAAAGACCGATCATGGTATGTGAATGTCAATTTGTAAAGATCAGAAAACGGGTGTGTGCCACTAAATTCTTATATATATGCCATAAAAGACCGCTCATAGTATGTGAAAATCTATATTAGGGGTGCGGTTGCGAACTCAAATAATATCTTGTGTCTAGTCGAGAATGAATTCGACATGGGACGAGGAGAGTCCCGATCTGATATATGTATCGCTATACTCCTTTTACCAAGGCCATAGAAGACCGGCCATTGTATGCGAATATCAATTTGTAAAGATTAGCCACTAAAGTTCTTCTGCATATGTCATAAAAGACATGTCATATTATGTGAAAGTTCATATAAGGGGTGCGATTTTAACTCATATAAGTCCTTCTACCTAGTCCATGAAAGACTGATCATGGCATGTGAATGTCAAATTGTAAAGATCCAAAATCGGGTGTGTGCCAGTAAAGTTCTTCTACATATGCCATAAAAGACCGGCCATATTATGTGAAAGTCCATATTACGGGTGCGGTTGCCATCTCAAATAATATCGTGTGTCTAGTCGAGAACGAAATCGACATGGAACGAAATCGAGCGCTTAAGCACCAGGCATATTGAATCAAAGTTCTTTATCCGGGCATCTAGCTTCGTAATAATGTCCTACAAAGGTCCAGTTGAAACACGAGTAGCATCTAAATCCTTCGTGATTGAGAACTTAAGCACCGACCATGTTGAATCAAAGTTCTATATCCGGGGGACTAGCTTCGTACTAATATCCTACAAAAGTCAATTGAAACACCGAAAACTAATATATCAAAGTGATATAGCAAGAATCATTTGTAGTTGGAGTAAACTTGTTAAGTCCTTCTGGTTCGTGGGCTTATGTACCAGACACATTGGTTCAGAGTGCTAAAATGGTCCAATTTTAACACATATAGAATCTAAAGTCCTTCATGATCGAGCACTTAAGCACCGATCATGTTGAATCAAAGTCCTTCGCGATCGAGAACTTAAGCACCGGTCATGTTGAATCAAAGTCCTTCATGATCGAGCGCTTAAGCACCGAGCATGTCGAATCAAAGTTCTTTATCCAGGGGGTTATCTTCATACTAATGTCCTGCAAAGGTCCAATTGAAACATGATTAACATCTAAAGTCCATCGTGATCGAGCACTTAAGCACCGATCATGTTGAATCAAAGTCCTTCAGGATCGAGCACTTAAGCACCGTTCATGTTGAATCAAAATCCTTCATGATCAAGCGCTTAAGTACCGGGCATGGCGAATCAAAGATGTTTATCCAAGGGTTTAGCTTCATATTGCTGTCCTACAAAGGTCCAACTGAAACACGAGTAGCATGTAAAGTCCTTCGTGATTGCGCTCTTAAGCACCGGGCACGTTGAATCAAAGTTCTATATCCGGGGGACCATCTTCGTACTAATATCCTACAAAGGTCCAAATGAAACGCGAGTAGCATCTAAAGTCCTTTGTGATTGAGCACTGAAGCACCGGTCATGTTGAATCAAAGTTCTATATCCGGGGGACTAGCTTAATACTAATATCCTACAAAGGTCCAATTGAAACACTGAAAACTAATATATCAAAGTGATATGGCAAGAATCGTGTGCGGTTGGAAAAAAAACTTGATAAATTCCATCGGTCTCAAGGTCGTAAGTGTCCAGCACGTTTGATCAAATTGTCTAGTGTTATATGCGACCAAGTGTCTAGTGTTGACAATATCACAGGCATATTTTGGCTACATCAAGGAGCTAAATAAAGCATGCTGACCAAATTCCATAGCACTAAATAGTGGGAAAACACAATGAACATATCAAAGAAATTCTATTGGCCAGCACAAACAAATACACGTAAAATAAGCTGCACCTTAGTTGATCTGTACAAAGCTCATTGCAGTGCTAGTCTTTTGAGGACAAAAATCCATTTAGCTAGCTTTAGAACTTAACAATCAACAGAAAAAGGCATATACTGCATGCGTGAAAGTCGGTTGCAGGAAGATATAAATAAATAAAAAGAGGCAACCAGCTGAACTGTAGGCATTCCAAAGGTGATGGTACGGTCTATGTGCTACTAAACCGTATTCATCTTGAACTACAAATCTGTAAGCAAGCAGCAAGAATTAATCCCAGCTCGCTGAAGACTGTCTTGCATCCCTGTATGTTTCTTTGGCATTGACCATACTTAATACCAAATCCTGTTTCCCAAGAGTACAGGTCGTAGGAGTCGTAAGCTTCAGCCAAAGAATCGAACTCTTGGCTGATCTCTGGATTTATGACGCACTCTAACTCCCTATCCGCATAATTTCTCATGGCCTTGTCCAAAGCACTTCTCCTTCCTGGTAATGTGGCACAGCAGTCTGGTATCTTGCCATGTCAGACACTACATAATTGAGAATTGTTAAACATCTTGCAAAGAAATTTAAAAATAGGAAAAGTGAAGTGCACATTGCTCCAATATGGGTCCAGAATTACTTGCCTTGCACACAACTAAGACTGAAAATTACTTGCATTACTTGCCAGCATGGACTATATATATTTATGAGCACTTTATACGCAAATCATATATGGCCATCAAGCAGTTTGAATTCAACACGTACCAAGAAATAACAACAATTTGATCCACAAAAGTGAAAAATCCTCATAGGGCTCTGATTTGGAAATGTGTCTCATATTGTTCAACACATCTGCATGATTCTCACCGCAACTATAATGTGGATAGAAATCTGCACAATTATATTGCTATCGAGATATAGTTTGGCTCCCCAAATCCGACAAGAGTGGATCGAACTCATAACTAATTGCAGGGCTTCTGCCCGCACTGGTCGAACTGTCCCTCTCATCCATATTTTATCTTACTGTACAATATAAGACCAATGAGAATTTGTAACCGACCTGATTATTATTTGACTAGAAAGAATAAACCACTGGAATGATTCCTCGACACAAAAATATTGATTATGATGCATCTATACTCTGTGGAGACAAAATCATGATCGAGGACAAACATTAATGAGATGGAGAGAGAGTACCTTCCCGGCCTGGAGCAGGAGTGTGTAGCGATTCAGGCGAGGGCGAACTGTGGCTGGCAGTGGTGTCCTTGGAATCAATATCTGGGACGGTGGAAAAAATTGGATTGGACCGTGAAACTTCGGATTCTTAATCAGTAGCCGAAGATTTCCTCCGTCTTCGCTTGGGGAAGGAGGTGCTTATTGGAGATAAGACATGCTCCCCGTCGTCTTCATCCTCGGTCCATCCCGTATCTGGGACGCACACCGCAGCGGGCGGCGCCGAACAAAAGCTGTTCATGGCATCCCACGCAAGAGAGATTGAAGGCCATGGTGGAGAACGCGATGAAAAGAAAAGCTTTTGAGATGGAAACCAACCTGAACAGCAGATCTGTGAGTGACTCCGGTTCAAGATCCGTTGGCTCCATCGTGGGTACTGCGTTGGCCGGCGGGGGTGCGCGGTACTGCGTTGGCCGACCGGAGTGGTTCACGGCGATGAGGAGCGTCTTCCGGACGCGATTCAAAAATTGAAATCTGGATTGGCTCGGCGTGGATGGGGTAGCTGGGTCGTGGTGTAAATGATGGCAGTCGTGGGCGAGTACGAGTAGGTACGGGGCGTAGGCATGGTACATATGATTTGACTGTATTCATACCGTATATCCAGAAGAAAATTGGAAGAGGGATGATTGGATGGGGCCAGGTGGGCCACGCTCGCTCGCATCCAAATGAAACAGCGACGGCAGCGATTGGCGTTGCGCGCGCATACAGTTAGACATCGCCATATTCGGTCGACCGGCACTCGCACCCGTCCGCGTCCAGGAAGTCCAGCCTCTCCTTCACGACGCTGAAGGGCATGGCTGCATGCAAGGCCAACCAACCTGCGTGTCACGTTCACGTGCCTGCTGAAGGCGAAGTTGAACTGCATGTATGCGGTACGTACCGGAGGTGAAGTTGAACTGCCTGACGCTGCCGACGCCGCCCTCGCCCTCGACGGGGTGGGCGCTGGCGACGACCTGCGGGGCCAGCTTGGGCGCCAGCGTGTGCCAGTCCATGACGCCGGCGCGGAACAGCCGTGGCGCCGCCACGGACGCCTCGATCTCGTGCGCCCAGCTCTTCTTGGTGGAGGCCATCGCGCGCTGTTCGTGCCTGCGTGCGTGATGATCAGCTCGCGCTTGTGTCTGCCTGGAGAGTGGACGTAGTCCCTATAAATAAACTCGTCGACTCCAAAGCCGGGGTTGGTGAAGCTAGGCTTGGCCGGACCGGTCCGGTGAGCGAGGCGCCATGCCGGGCCGGGCGTCCAGGTTTTCTACATTGGATGGCACACTAAGCTTTTAGTATTATGAGAGATCATGAATCCATCAATATTTGCTTTAGTTAAAGGAAGATTGTTTTGACGGGCTCCGAGATAAGATTACCTGGGGTTGGTGTGGTCAGAGCCAAGGAACAGACTGAATTACTGAACTGATTGGAAGCACACTTGCATAGTCGCATATGCATGCGTAGTCAGCAGTGCAAGGTTACATCCACTTCATTCAGTTTCTTTAGATCAACGACTTGGGTTGCCAGGCCAGAGAAGGAAAAAGTCAGGGGAAGAGATGAGATAATCCTGTTGTCGAAACAAATGCGGAACCATCTTGACGTACGGCGTTGCTTTGTTTTACCAACTCTACTATCTGCAACAAGGCTGGAAAATACAGTAAGACATACTAGCAAGGGCACTGTGGGTGACACTTTTATTCAGCATCGACACTATTTTCGGGCAACTTCTTCCTGGCACACCATTTCATCAGTTTCTTCTTCTTCCTCTTCCTCTTCATCAGACTGGGTTGTGCTGAATCCGGCTTCTTCTCTCATACTGCAGTACATCATTTGCATCCTTGTCGACCTGACAAAGTGAAACACACCATCAATTATAACATTATTAGCTGAAGCATTAAGACTGCTGACAATTTACATACTTTTAGCCTTACTAGATGACCCGTTGCGCCCATGGCGCAAAGACCGAGCGCAAGCCAGGTATTGGAGGAGTGTGCATTGAAATATGTGGATACAGATTGAAACATATGTAAGAGCCTTTTTAGTTGGCATACATCTGGACTTATCTGAGCTAATATTCTTGATAAGGCATCTTCACACTAAAAATTTCAAAAGGTAGAGCTTGCATAATTGCAAAGAGAACATGCTGTAGAAAAAGGAAGATTATTTTCCTTTGTGTGTGCCATAAGATGTTGATGTGCATTCTTTGGTGAAGTGGTGTGGATCGGTAACGAAATACTTTGGATCATTTGCATGGTAGATGCCTAGTAGAATTAATTGTTAGATGCATAAAATGATAGAACTTTTCAATGCATTTTTTGATAAGTCTATATACTTTCTGTAATATTTAATAGTAAAAGAGCCAGTGCGTTCTAATGCCAGAAAAAAAATCATAACCTCCACAGGCCATGACAATATTTTGCTGCATCACCGATAACATTTTGGCGAACATTTTGTTCAATTTCATTAAAAAAATAATACATGAACTTTTTTAAATCATGTACATTTTTTTATTTCTAACACATTTGTTTTCAAAATTTTGAACATTTTATGAATATGCAAATATTTTTTAAAAATTATAAACATTGTTTGAATCCACAGATATTTTATTGTTTATTGAATACTTTTATTTTATTCAAAATTTATATTTTTTAAGTTTTAGAACATTTTTAGGTATAAAATTATATAATTTAGAGGAGAACAAAAGAATATATAAAATTAAAATAAAAAATAAAAACGAAATTTAAAAACAGGCCGGCTTAACGGGCGCTGCGTCTTCTCCCAGCGTGCAGAGCGTATTATAGGAGGTCCCTACTCTGTGGGCCGGCTTAAGTGGTGGATTCCCCTGTGTGAATTTTTTTTGGCTTATAGTTGGCATCGGTGGGAATATTTTGCAATTTTCGGGGTAATTTATGTGACATACCGCCAAACGCACGAATGACTTTATTCTTGTAAGTTTTTTTGAGGGATACTTTATTATTAGGTATAGATTCGATTGGGTGCCATCTGTTGTGGGCCTGTTTTTTTCGTGGCCCATTTAAGAACGCCTCATTTGGCATGTTTACGGCAGAACACGATGAGGCAGGGTGATATACTGATTCTTCTGTTTACTGAAATTTTTTGATTCTTCAACTGTAGTAAGAGTGAAATAAATACTTGTTTGTTTCGTTATTCCCAATACTTGGTGGATATGTATCTAGCAAGTATCCATATAACATTGGGTATCCAACAAGATATGCCAGGTTTTGCATGATTGGTCATTTCGTTCATAGGTTTCAATACTAAATGGAGAAAGAAAGTTTCTCCATGCTAACTCTGTTTGACCCACAAAACAGACATATTTCCTCATCCCAGGTGATGGAACAGAACGATAAGCGTTACAGCCCAATTGACAGATTCAGTATTACACGGAACTGGAACTGCTACTCTGCCAGAGCAGAAACTGAAACCAACAACCAAAAGGCAACAACAATACCTATTCTTGTTACTGCTGAACCAACATTTAGCAATATGCCCATATTGATCTCAACTAATTTAGAAAGATCAGGCCACCACAGCTTGGCCAAAGGGCATTCAAAGAACAATTGAGAAATATCACCAACAAGGTCGTGCCTATCACACTGCCTATTGGGGCTAAGAAACCCTATAAACACATGGAACCCGATGGGAATTTCAGTTTGCAACAGAGCAGGAGTTGTACACCATAATCCCAGAAGAGTATATCTCAGGACAATAACATCTTTCTACCGGCAAACGATATAGAAGATGTTATATGCAGCAATCCATGCCACAAAACCATGAGCCTCCAAAACCGTCAAATGGGCAGTACAAATTCTCCCGGCAGTCAATTTTGGGTGCACTCAACTCGGACAAAGGAACTCACAAATAGAACAAAAGCACGTCCACCCTGACCGAACTGTTCAGCACAACCAGCAACAAATTAGACTGAAGTTCACTTCAAATTCAAGATGTGGACCATGCTTTGTTAGGGTGGGGAATCATAGATAAATGAACCATGCTCCAGAACAGATCTACAAGCAAGTTGAGACTGCTCTTAGATCAACCATGGTCCTTGGCCTCTCCTCCAATTGACAGGCTGCTGCAGCTACACCATCGCCGATGGCTCCTTGGCCTATGTGATTAAATAAATTAGGAAAGAAAGAGGATCAAATTCTGGTGATGGTTAAGGTGATTTTATTGTACCATCGCTGGTGTGGGGTCGGCGACGCCAATGCCATGTGCACCTTCCTGGCTAGCATCCTCTCCTCCCTGTCATCTTCGTCCAATGAGAAAGGCTGGGGGGACAATGAGGACGCGGATCTGGTGTCCTGGGAGTGGTTAGCGCAAGATATGAGAAAGTAAGCTGAGAAATGGGAAATATGCCTTGTCAAGATTTAACTCCATAAACAGGTTGTGTCATAGAATTACACGATCACGTATGATGTAAGGACTCAAGCACATATTGTTACGTTGTCCTGTGCCTAGACTTATTATTTATTCCCTTTGATCAATGGACAATCAAAGTAATTTATCAGACGCTCCATTGCGCAAACAACAGTCGGATACAACAAGAGCATCAGTTAGTTTTCCATCATTAATTAGCCTACATAGACAAATGAAATCTAATTGTCAAGAGAGGTTGCAAGAGAAAGGTCATTCAAGATCTGCGCCATATGTGATAGTAAATATGTATATCCACAATGAAATAAGCACTGGACAACAAAACAAGGATGATTTGATATACCTTGCTTTCAGGAATTCAATTTTGACGTCATTTGATGATTGAGCCATGAAAGTAAGGACATATCCAAACCTGAGGTGCATGAAGCAAGGCAATGAGCTAAATTAGTGCATCTAGTACATATTTGACTCACTCTACACTCTAGGCTTCCATAGCATGACAGTAATCTTAGGTCACTCATGGGAAATAAAACAAATCGAAGACCAAGATTTGCATATGGCGAATGGAGGAATGAAGCCATACCTACAGGAGAAATTCTTGCATTCATGCTACAAATCCCGAAAAGGAAAATCAAACCTCCTCTCTAGAGCCTCTGCCCTGTTAATATCTTAGACGCATAAGCGCCACAGCAGAAGATTCCTAAGACGGTTATGCAAAAAAAAAGATCTTGTGAGCACCTGCACACTATAAATCATGATATATTTCTTATTTCTTACTAAGATATAAAAGCAGTGTATTCAGTAACACGATTTACCTGAGAAATCAGGCTTAGTTTTCTATCTTGTGAGCCATTAGTAGGTAGCTCTGCTTTTAGATAAAAATCTAAAAAAAGGAGACACATACAGATATATCTCAGGAATGTACACCAAATATGCTCAGTTGCTCATTATACATGAACTCAGGTGCTCATAAAAGATACATCTAGCCATACAGATGTTGCTCTTCCTAGTTCTTGATGGTGCACCAAGGAAAAATATCAATATCACTCAACAGTAAACATTTGTACATCCTTCTACAGCAAAATCAAAGTGCCACATGCATATGTCATAGGAGACGAAATAATTACATTAATAATACTTAGGTAATCGAAAAGTCTGTACTAATTGATGCTGGTCCTTTATGAAATTTAGACCATTTGTCTCAGCAAGCATATTCTCCTAAGAAAGAAGGCAAGTCTAGGCACACCAAAAGTTTCATCTGTGAGAAGCATTTTCACAAACACATGCTGTGCTACTTGTTCTACTAATCAAAGAAAACCAACAAGCAGAGAGGAGAAAACCCAGCAACCTGCAAGCTGAAGATGAGCAGAAATGGATAGCACATGGACACCCTCTTCCGTCCCTGCACTGCTGCCCCCTTTCTCGTCTAGCTTCGGGAGGCCAGCCACCCCCGTTGCTCCCATGATCCCTGCTGCCAGCTCCATCTTCATCCTCTGCTGCAAGGCCTTGTCATTTCGTCAAACACACACAACATAAAAACCAAATATTATGCAGAAGCATATAGATAGAAAGGAAAATTAAACTTGGATTGAAAATCCCCTTCCTTTCCATTTGGAATCCGGTCTCACATGAAAAAACTGAGAAATGTTCTTATTCTTGTGCTGCCTAATGCCAACAGATCCGACCAATCTAC